CAGTCAACTACCACAACAATCATAGTCTCCATCACCAACAACACCACAACCAACAGTCAACTACCACCACAGTCATAGTCACCATCACCAACAACACCAACACCATTACACAACAACCACCACAACCACCAACACCAACACCATCACTCAACTAACACCACAATCATAGTCACCATCACCAACAACACCAACACCAACAGTCAACTACCACCATAATCATAGTCACCATCACCAACAACACCAACACCAACAGTCAACTACCACCACAAATATAGTCACCATCACCAACAACACCAACACCAACAGTCAACTACTACTACAATCATAGTCACCATCACCAACAACACCACAACCAACAGTCAACTACCACCACAATCATAGTCTCCATCACCAACAACACCAACACCAACAGTCAACTACCACAACAATCATAGTCTCCATCACCAACAACACCACAACCAACAGTCAACTACCACCACAGTCATAGTCACCATCACCAACAACACCAACACCATTACACAACAACCACCACAACCACCAACACCAACACCATCACTCAACTAACACCACAATCATAGTCACCATCACCAACAACACCACAACCAACAGTCAACTACCACCACAATCATAGTCACCATCACCAACAACACCAACACCAACAGTCAACTACCACCACAAATATAGTCACCATCACCAACAACACCAACACCAACAGTCAACTACTACTACAATCATAGTCACCATCACCAACAACACCACAACCAACAGTCAACTACCACCACAATCATAGTCTCCATCACCAACAACACCAACACCAACAGTCAACTACCACAACAATCATAGTCTCCATCACCAACAACACCACAACCAACAGTCAACTACCACCACAGTCATAGTCACCATCACCAACAACACCAACACCATTACACAACAACCACCACAACCACCAACACCAACACCATCACTCAACTAACACCACAATCATAGTCACCATCACCAACAACACCACAACCAACAGTCAACTACCACCACAATCATAGTCACCATCACCAACAACACCAACACCATCACACAGCAACCACCACAACCACCACACCAACACCATCACGCAAGTACCACCACACTCATAGTCACCATCACCAACAACACCAACACCATCACACAACTACCACCACAATCATAGTCACCATCACCAACAACACCAACACCAACAGTCAACTACCACCACAATCATAGTCACCATCACCAACAACACCAACACCATTACACAACAACCACCACAACCACCAACACCATCACTCAACTACCACCACTCTAGGTCACCATCACCAACAACACCACAACCAACAGTCAACTACCACGACAATCATAGTCACCATCACCAACAACATCAACACCATTACACAACAACCACCACAACCACCACAACCACCAACACCAACACCATCACTCAACTACCACCACAATCACAGTCACCATCACCAACAACACCACAACCAACAGTCAACTACCACCACAATCATAGTCACCATCACCAACAACACCAACAGTCAACTACCACCACAATCATAGTCACCATCACCAACAACACCAACACCAACAGTCAACTACCACCACTCTTGGTCACCATCACCAACAACACCAACACCATCACTCAACTACCACCACTCTTGGTCACCATCACCAACAACACCAACACCAACAGTTTACTACCACCACAATCATAGTCACCATCACCAACAACACCAACACCATTACACAACAACCACCAACACCAACACCATCACTCAACTACCACCACTCTTGGTCACCATCACCAACAACACCACAACCAACAGTCAACTACCACCACAATCATAGTCACCATCACCAACAACACCAACACCAACAGTCAACTACCCCCACAATCATAGTCACCATCACCAACAACACCAACACCATTACACAACAACCACCACAACCACCAACACCAACACCATCACTCAACTACCACCACTCTTGGTCACCATCACCAACAACACCACAACCAACAGTCAACTACCACCACACTCATAGTCACCATCACCAACAACACCAACACCATCACACAACAACCACCACAACCACCACACCAACACCATCACGCGAGTACCACCACACTCATAATCACCATCACCAACAACACCAACACAATCACACAACTACCGCCACAACCACCAACACCAACACCAACACCATCGCACAGCTACCACCACACTCAAAGTCACCATCACCAACAACACCAACACCATCACACAACAACCACCACAACCATAGCCACAAACACCAACACCATCACACAACTACCACCACAACCACCAACACCAACACCATCACTCAACTACCACCACTCTTGGTCACCATCACCAACAACACCACAACCAACAGTCAACTACCACCACACTCATAGTCACCATCACCAACAACACCAACACCATCACACAACAACCACCACAACCACCACACCAACACCATCACGCAAGTACCACCACACTCATAATCACCATCACCAACAACACCAACACAATCACACAACTACCGCCACAACCACCAACACCAACACCAACACCAACACCATCGCACAGCTACCACCACACTCAAAGTCACCATCACCAACAACACCTAAAAAATCACACAACAACCCCCACAACCATAGCCACAAACACCAACACCATCACACAACTACCACCACAATCATAGTCACAATCACCACCAACACCATTCTGTCCCTTCCATCACATACCTTCCACCATAATTTTCCGCCGCAACTCGTCTAAACTCTCCCATAATTTGCTGGACAGGAGACACGATTCAGTTATTAGATAAAACATTTTGTCGAACATTGCATGCTTTATGTCATTTCCTGATGTGATGAATTACATGGAACCAACTACTTCCCTTCCAGAAACCTTCACTTCACGATCGACATCAACATCAACACCATCACCATCACACAACTACCACCACAATCATAGTCACCATCATCATCACCATCACCAACAATACCAACACCAACACTCAACTACCACCACACTCATAGTCACCATCACCAACAACACCAACACCATCACACAACTACCATCACAACCATGGCCACCATCACCATCACCAACAATTACAACACCAACACTCAACTGCCACCACACTCATAGTCACCATCACCAACAACATTTAGAATATATTATTGTTGAAATTGTCTAGGAGATATCTCTTCATGTGTATATGCAGCGAATAGGTATTATTCCGAGTTTTGTATAAACCAAAATTGAGCAATGAATCATGCAGATGGCTGTTTTGTAATACTTTCCACAGCTGAGATGACAGGTCCTGTTTGTAAAGAGCACTGAGTTGATATCCATGTACCGGTAATAATCAAGTCCTTTTAATACAGCATTAACGGTACACATATGTATCTCAATAAAACTCACACATAAATATTAATATGATTATTTATTTGAAAACAACATTGGCACTTTTGTGGACAGCTATTTGTATCTGCTTGTGAATATGTTAACATCAGGAACAACAGGCAGCAAAAACATAAATAAAGCAAATGGTTTGATTTGTGAAATAGCTTTGATGAAGACCTAATTCGTTATATAGTAACCTTCGTGTACCAATATGACATGTGGAAAAAGTTATTAACTATCCAAGTACGTGGATTTACCGATCACCTGTCTCGAGAGAGTAAATGGTGAGACTCCGAGCCTTTGTTGAAGGCCATACACCATTCATTCTAGAGGGACAGAAAATCCATAAAAAGAAAACAAACAAAATTGACTTTTGTCCTCGATATGCGTGTAGGTGAATCTGCATGGTTATCCGACTCTTTCGTAAAAACGTTATAACGGGACTGTAAACAGACACTATCAGGAGAACGTCAACAAAGTATTTAAGATAAAACCGGTACTTATCATGAAGTGTATTTCTTTCTTTATCCTATGACAATAATTGCGATTTCTCAACTGTGTATAGTTACACGAACTTTCAAATAGCTAAGAATTTATAGTTAAATTATCTTCATATTAGTTCCGCTTTAACCATTTTCTGGGTTCATAGGTCTTTTTTATTTTGACTCCAATTCATAATATTCCGGGTTAGAATTAGACCACATCAAGATGCTGCTTGACGTAGGAGGCGAGAAGTTTGCTATTGGATAGGGTCTTCAGGAAGTACTCATTATATCAATCATTCGTATGTCTGGTACACATTACATTAAGGAAATACAATATGCCGTCACAGATAATTCGTAATTATTAAGATTTACTCTTGTATTACAGGCGTGTAGGTTCATCAGTTGCCTTTAAAGCATAAATTAGTTTCGTAAAGCAGTGGGAAAGCATTTAAAGCAAATACGTGTCAGGTTAGAAAGATAAATCAGTCATCTCCAGGTGCTTCTCGGGAGGATTTCTCCTTGACAAGTTCTTCTCGAATTTGTGCCACTACGGATTTCTTTTTCATATATGGCCTCAAAATGTGACCGGATTCTTCGTTGTACTTTCTGTATATGGCCTTCTCTGGTTTTGCCAGACAGCATATCTCCCTCCGTTGTCGTATACAATCCCTTGTGAATTGTTTGTACATCTCGTTGGTGACTGTGTCGTCAGCAGAGTCAAGAAACAGACGGATGTCCAACTCTAGTTCCTGCCATCCGGCGCCTGTCTTGTTGGCGAGCTCTTGCTTCTTCTCAAACTTTTCTAGAAGAAACATGCTTCCAACTTTGAAGGTGCAGGTCGCTACAGTGATTACTCCGATGATGATCTTAGATATTGCAGGGAGCAGTCCGTCTCCCACGGGGATGTACTGGGATAGATTCGCTGTAGCTACGCCCATAAGTAGGCTAGCTACAATGAGCGCCCAGAACGACAAGTTAGCGTACTTGTCTGACTGTTCGTACATCATATAAGACCCTATCATGCTGCGAATTCTTAGTTCGGATAACAAGACTTCACATGCTTCAATGACCTTGCTTTTTGCTTCAGTTAGAGACTGAGGCTGGGGTTGAGGTTGGGGCTGAGGCTGAGATTTATGCTTCTCTTGACCCTGAAGTTCAGGTTGAGTTTGAGGCTCGTGTTGAGGATGGGTTTGAGAATGAAGTTGAGGTTCGTGTTGAGCCTGGGGTTGAGGCTGGGTTTCCGGTTGGGGTTGAGGCTGCGGTTGCGGTTGAGGTTCAGGTTCAAACTCGAGTTGAGGCTGGGTTTGAGGCTGAGGTTGAGCCTGAGCTTGAGGCTGGGGTTCAGATTGAGGTTGAGGGTGTGTCTCATCTGCCCCTTGAGGTTGACTTCTGGTTGTTGACATTTTGTTGGTGATAGCAAGTCACTGAAAAAATGGAAGATATTAAGAATATGAAAATTACGTCTCATTCCACTACGTCGCCAAACTTTATTACTTTATACATTGGATTTATGTGTTGTATTCGTATCTTTTCCTCCACTTAAAGAGGGCCACAATTCTATTATCGATTTTGTAATGTGTAATGGGTGCCATGTGTATACCTAAGACACCGTCTCTATGTTAACACAGCAATAGTTAACTGCTATATTGATATACACAATGCACTTTAAGTTCACAATAACCTAAGGGGCGGTCTGGTAGCCTAGTGGTTAAAACGTCCGCTCGTCACGCCGAAGACCCAGGTTCGATTCCCGACATGGGTACCATGTGTGAAGCCCCTTTCGGTTCTCCCCCGCCGTGGTATTGCTGGAATATTGCTAAAAGCGACGTAAAACCATTCATTCACTTACATTATTCTTAAGTGGGTTCTCAGTCGTGTCCCTTTAAGGAAGTTACCTATCTGTAAAAACACTTTTGATTTCCTGGGTATGCATTTTCAGGGTATGCATGTCAATTCGATAAGGTGAGGTGAAATGGGTTTAACGTCGCTTCAAGGTTATTTCACTTACTAGTATATAGTGACGAGCATGCACGTGCGTGCGTGCGTGCGTGCGTGCGTGCGTGCGTGCGTGCGTGCGTGCGTGCGTGCGTGCGTGTGGCTGCTTGTACCAGTCCGGACTAATGCCGATTTTATATAGTGCTAGACCACTGAGATACCCCGCCCAGACACGACTCCGAGCCGACAAGTCATTGTTTTAGCCCCTTAATGCCGAGCGCCAGGCAAGGTAACAACAAGTATTATCTTTTAACGTCTTTTGGTATGACGCGTCCGGGGATTGAAGCACCCACCTTCCGCTCTCCGGGCAGACGCTCTACCACTAGACCGCGTCGGCGATCGGTATGGATGTCGATGTTCCGTTGAGTAACAGTAAACGGTATCAACCTAACGGTAGTTTACAAAGTGTAGTTTCCTCATTCGGCGAGGAGGTAGTTGAGGCCAAGTCGTCTGAGGTTACGTAATGTCCTGTGCAGAGTAACGTCCCTTTGGTGTGCCATTACATCTAATTACAAATTAGCCCCGATTATGTTTCTAGGTTTGTTTGCACCATACCCGAGGCTTCACATAAGTTTTAAACTTAGACGATTTGCATCACTTCGGACTTTCCTCCCTCTGTAATTCGACACGCCGTGATATGACTGAAATACCGTCCAAACCGGCTTTAAACCCAGCTCACTCACTCACTCACTCACTCAACCTATCAAACACTGGCTTCCCTGTCTTAGGTTTCGCTCACAACGATCTCAGACGACAGCCGTAAGTCTAATTAGAAGCATAGGAGCACTAAGATCGCTTCGTTGGGGGCATACCTAGACTAGCCCATCTGCAGACAACTAGTGATATAGCATTGCCGACTGAGGAGTCACATTGCACAACGTTACTCACGTATAACTCCTGGCTGTCGGCTTCACTCCTGGATGTCCTGTCGCGTGCATATACTGTACAGTTCTTCAGCTTGTCATATCAGTCACGTGGTAGACTACTACAAATATGAAGTACAGATATGACACCAAATAAGTTTATCAGTCGTATCAACCATTGACATTTGACTAATCTGTTTGTTTTCCTTCTGTAGGGCGTGTGTGTTTCCCTGTGTTATCCATTTTCCTTATGAAGGTTTCATATTTGCTTAATGACCCATAAGTCCTTGTTTAGTCTGTCTTACAGACCCTGATACGAATATATGAATTACAGCCCATGCAAGTCTATAATGTTTGGCAAGTCTAGATTACTGCAGTATCAGAATCTGTATCAGTATCTGAAAATGAAGACAGTCTCTGGGCTCCTTTTTATTATATTTTATTAAGATAATTGTTTGTTTTTTCTGTACCATATGTTTATTTCAGAGACTAGATGTTAGTTTAGTCCTTGTTATCAGGAGAAAGTATTTTTCCTTAGTCAATTATTTTTAAATGTTCTATATCATGCTTTCACGCTTATATATTAATTTGTGTTGTCCTAATAACTGCGTGGAGATACTGAGGGTAGGATATGTACCCAGTACCAGTTTCCTGTTGCAAGGACATAAATGGGGATCCATTGGTCACAATGGCTAGTGAGAATTACAACTGATCACCAAAAATGACCAACACAACGTTGATCTTAAAAATGACGTGCCGTTTACCCGATACTCATTTATCCAGAGATGTGTGTATTAATGAGCTATGGGTATTCCGAAGCAGAACGAAAAGGTCCCCAGCTCTCCATGCTTGTCACCGCGTAGGATTTCCGTGGCAAATGTGAACCAAGTACTGATGGATTGTCCCTTCGAAGGGATTCCGTGGCAAAACAGGCCACAGTACCGCGTGCTTGTCTCCTCGTGGGATTCCGTGCCAAAATAGGTTCCCAGTACCGCGTGCTTGTCTCCTCGTGGGATTCCGTGCCAAAATAGGTTCCCAGTACCGCATGCTTGTCTCCTCATGGGATTCCGTGGCAAAATAGGTTCCCAGTACCGCATGCTTGTCTCCTCGTGGGATTCCGTGCCAAAATAGGTTCCCAGTACAGCATACTTGTCTCCTCGTGGGATCCGTGCCTAAATAGGTTCCAAGTACCGCATGCTTGTCTCCTCGTGGGATTCCGTGACAAAATAGGTTCCCAGTACCGCATGCTTGTCTTCTCGTGGGATTCCGTGCCTAAATAAGTTCCCAGTACCGCATTCTTGTCTTCTCGTGGGATTCCGTGCCTAAATAGGTTCCCAGTACCGCATTCTTGTCTCCTCGTGGGATTCCGTGCCTAAATAGGTTTCCAGTACCGCATGCTTGTCTCCTCGTGGGATTCCGTGCCTTAATAGGTTTCCAGTACCGCATTCTTGTCTCCTCGTGGGATTCCGTGCCTTAATAGGTTTCCAGTACCGCATTCTTGTCTCCTCGTAGGATTTCCGTGGCAAAACAGGCCACAGTACCGCATTCTTGTCTCCTCGTGGGATTACGTGCCTAAATAGATTCCCAGTACCGCATTCTTGTCTCCTCGTGGGATTCCGTGCCTAAATAGGTTCCCAGTACCGCATGCTTGTCTCCTCATGGGATTCCGTGCCTAAATAGGTTCCCAGTACCGCGTGCTTGCATAAAGCACAACTCCTCTTGCTTCTCCCTATAAAACATTTGTAATTGGGAGTTATAATAACCAGACGTTTCCTAATATGAAGGCATATATGTTGTCATATAACTAAATTTCAATCTCAAACAAATAACTAAACCTTCGTAAAACCCAGGAGGTCTAAGCCTAATTGAACACCACTACACCTAAAAGTTTCAAGGAAAATAAAAAAGACTTCTGAGGTGAGGTGGTGAGGTGAAATGAAGCTTAACGCCGCGTTCTAGATAATTGCACGTATGTGACGTGCATCCACGTGTATTTGTGACCTGGGGTAAAATAGGTCTTTAGCTACTCATGCTTGCTGTAGATATGCAACTATGCTTTTCGTACGAGGCGACTAACGTGATCTGGTAGTCATGCTCGCTGACTTAGTTGATGTATGTCATCGTATCCCAATTGCGTGGATTGATGCTCATGATGGATTATCCGGTCCAGACTCGATTATTTTTACGACCGCCGTCATATAGCTGGAATATTGCTGAGTGCGGCGTTAAACAACAATCAAACGAAACGTTGTTGTTTTGTTTATTGTTGTTGTTTTTGTTTGTTTTGTTTTTGTACGTGTGTGCGTGCGTGCGTGCATGCGCGTGTGTGTGTGTGTGTGTGTGTAAATTTCATAGTGGTAGCCCACTGAGACGCAGTACACTCCGAGCCGTCCAGTCGTAGCTTTAACCCCTTAATGCCGAGCGCCTGGCAGGGTAACAAAAAGTACCATCTTTTGACGTCTTTTGGTATGACGAGGCCGGGGATCGAACACCGGACCTTCCGCTCTCCGGGCATTAACTCGACAATGCTCTTATTGAAGCGAGGCACAATCTTCCCTTGGCAACGTTGGCAACCATTATTAAGAGCATTAGTCCGATGTGCCAAATACGCGATACTGAGAGCTTTTTTGGACAATATAAAATATATTATGTGTAAAATTCATTATCTGCATCAAGTGTAGTATATCTTCAAAACAACGGAAATGAAACATACCCTGGAAAGTATATTTTATGCTGTTGTCTACATAAGGTATTCGAGCTGATTTGTTTTTCTGTCAAGTCGTGTCCCACGCCCAACGATGACCCCGGCTTTATTGGTGTTGACAAAGGAGAACATATCGAAATACTTGTGAATTTCACTCTTTGAAATGTAACATGTTTACAACTTTACACATGCTAATACCATTCAACAGATACATAATAGCGGATAAAAGTGAAACTTTTTAATTTCATTCTTTTGATCATTGGTTTCAAAGAATCACTGTTTACATGTTGTGTTGTGGCAACACCAACCAATTCAAACACCGTAGTTGTAGGTTTATGTTTGAACATGACCAGGAACATTCGTTCAATAAAAACAAATCCTTTATCGTCTTGTACATGACGAGAATAGTGAAAGTGGGTTCACAGTAATGCATGCTTGTCTCTCTCTGGGAGGCCGAGTCAGGGGCAAAATATGTCACAAGTACTACATGCTTGTCTCACTGTGGGAGGCCGTGGCAAAATATGTCACATGTAGTACATGCTTGTCTCCCTGTCAGAGTCGGGGGCAAAATATGTCACATGTAGTGCATGCTTGTCTCACTGTGGGAGGCCGTGGCAAAATATGTTACCAGTATTACATGCTTGTCTCCCTGTCCGAGTCAGGGGCAAAATATGTCACAAGTACTACATGCTTGTCTCCCTGTGGGAGGCCGTTGCAAAATATGTCACCACTAGTGCATGCTTGTCTCCCTGTAGAAGTAAGTGGCAAAATAAGTCACATGTAGTGCATGCTTGTCTCCCTGTCAGAGTCAGGGGCAAAATATGTCCATAGTACTGCTTGCTTGTCTCCCCGGGGGAGGCCG